TGTCATTCAGGGTAAGCTGCCTAGAATCTGTAAACAGCTTGCAAAATGTAAATTGATTAATCAATACAGGTAATCCCCGGGTTATGCGATAAGTTACGCGATAAGTGCCCCCTTAGGAGCAAGTCCCAAAACTATGGATCTTGCAGCACCACGATTGAGGCTCTGCAACATTCGTCCTGCTTCTTGCTGGCCAAAACGGAGCTTCGGTGCTCCCTTTGGGCCTCCAAAGGCCTCCCCCAGCACACTGCAAGCCGAAATGGAGCTTCAGAGGGGCAGGTTGGATTTTGTTCTGTACCATGTTAATTTTTAATGGTCACTAAACAAACAGTTATAAGTTGAGAACCTCCTGTGCTGTTGGAAGGAGTGGAAAGCAGATGAGCTTAGACATTTACTTTCAGTTGGCCTGTTCAGCAGAGTTCTGTAATGGGGCTCCGGATTATAGCCAGCAATATTGCCACATTAAATGGCACTTCTCAAATGCTTCTTTGTGATTTTAAACTTTACAACCCAGAAGCCTGTGTGGAGGCCGTTGTAAACAATTCAGGGAACCGTAAAGTCGTATTACAGTAAATCATTTTTAGAGCTTTATGAGTAAACGCCTCTCCAGCAAACTTCTGAACACAGCAGATTGCTAAAATCTAGAAGACGTTAATGATGTACACATTTATTCAGCTAGAAGAAATTCTCATTTTAAAGAAAATAACGCAGTGCCACATATTCAGTTTCTTCTATAGAAAGGTATTTAAGGTTTTGTTCACATTCTATACATTTCTTGATTTAAGTTTCAGCTTCATGATTTGCACATGTTTTGCTGATTATTATTATTTTGAAGGGGCCAACTTGTACACGTTGCCAACTTGTAAAATCTCCGGTAAATGGACGTGTAACCTTTGGTTATGCACATTTACTGAAAAGCCACTCAGAGTCACTTTGATCCACAAGATGGGCAGCAAATAAATTTGATGAATAAATAAAGTAAATGAAAGGAGCTCATGGCCTCTCTGGCTCATGGATTCTACTGTTAAACTGCTCTTACTAGTAACAGGTCATTCCTGGCATTCAAAGAAATTCTCCCTGTGTTTGTTTCATGGACTGCATACTGGAATGGTAGAAAAGATTGTGGCTTTCTTTAGTGTGGCCTTCCAGGTTGTCCTGTCTCCCTTCTCTTCACAAGGGGAAAGATACACTATTTTTCCATCTTTTGGTCTTGTACTATATGAATCACTATGTATGCTTAGTGAATCCTGCATGTAATGCTTCAGTAAACTATAGACTGAAATAAAATAGTTCCCCTTCTTCCTATATTAGAGCCATTGATGGGTTTTTAGATGTGAGTGGCGTGGGCCTACTAGTGAAGAAGCTTGCCGTCCACTAGAAAGGTTGAGAGTTGAATCCTAGGTAGAGGCAGATGTTTTTCCTCTTAGGGCACAAAGGGAAAAAAATCTGCTGCGAACTCCACATAGGCATTGGGAAGGGCATCCAACCAGTAAATGCTCGACTCCATCAGTTGCCCAGACTCTACCGGAATTAAGAGATTACAGGGTTGCACAAAGGAACAAAAATGTTTTTTATTTTGTGTGTGTGTGTGTGTGTGTGTGTGTGTGTATGTATATGTATATTAATATGTATATGTATATGTATATGTATATTCTTTTTTTACCATTGTGGGTGCTTTTGATTTTATTTCAAAATGAAATTAATGCTTTAAAGAAGGGCTGTGGATTTCCACTGTGGCAGCAGCCCAATATATGTCAACACATACACAGAGACATATTAATATACATATACATACACATATACATATA